CTGAGTTACTTATAAACAACAAAAGGTGGAATTTGATTTTTGATATACTCAATCACTCTATATCTTTCAACTAGTGATTTCAAGGAGTAATTTACATTTAAGGTGATTATTGAAATAAATGCATTTACTATCTTTTTTTGCATTTTTGTTTTTAAAAATATTTTAACACCGTCCTTTTACATTTTGTTTGGGTTTCATTTTCATTGTCTTATTAATTGAATGTAACTGAATAAGACCAAGTAAAGTCAAAGAGAAATCAAAGAATTGAGAAGCAGACCATTTAATATACAAATGAATTCTCAGCAAAATCACAGACATCTCTCTCCTCTCTCCTCTCTCTTCTCTCCTTTCTCTCTCTCTCCCTCCAGTGCAAAATGTTTTAGTTATCTTCCTTCTTGATTTATAGGAAGGCCAAGTCCTGGTTGATATGAGTGAGAATTTTCCATACCCTGAAAAAATAGTCCTATTCTCAGTAATCCTGGGAAATCATTACTCTTGCAGCAGAAAAAGTATAGAGAGGACTAAAGAGTTTCAGTAGGGAGTGAGGAATGTGAAGGGAGAGGGCTGACAACAGGGTAGTGATCGCTTCCTGGCCTGCAAAGACTGACAAGGGGTATTCAGGTGCTGTGAGCCCATATTTTGCACATGGTGGCAACTCTCAGTGCAAGAGAATGTGTGCGTCAGGTGGGCAGTCTCTGGGTAGTGAGTCAGTTTCTGCCTTTGTGCAGCCTGCCAGTTTTAGGGGGGTTGTCTGAATTTTAGATCACTGGTGGATGGTGAGGGCAGTACCCATATATGAATCACAATGCAATGGCTGCTTTTTTATCAAATATCCTCACTTCAAAACTGTCATATCAATGTAGTCACATCAATGGGGAAGCTGCAAAAGCATAGCACCAACATTTAATATCCTGACAGCAAAATAAAACAGAAAATGTGAGACTTTAATTTTATTTTGTCGTTGCCATATAATTCTTATTTCAAACCAAATTTCACACACAGCCCAATTATTCGCAAAATGTTGAAAGCTGTTTTGATAAAAGGAGGCCTGGGGAACTCAACTTCTCATTATCAGTAGAATTCTCTTCCCATCCTCTAAACTCCCTCCTTAAATCACATCTCAGAGGCCTGAAAGACTCCTCAGAACTCTGGGAGCCAGTATGAAAACAATCACTGGAACTGAGTTCAAGACCTACCTATAGATATTTGGGCCTTTGCAATTTTAGTGACATTTTAAATAAATGAAGGAGAGAATGGATGGAGAATAAATAAGGAGGGAAAGGCAGGGAAAGCCCTGGAAGAAGTTACATTGATATGTTACTTGTTATTTTTTGATGATGAGATTATCAGTCATTTTTAACTTTTTGCTTTCTAGCTTTTTATGCTGTTGGACTAGCTTCTAGCACCTATGTTGCTTTTGTAAATGCAAATGAATAATAAAGGAATTTGAATTAAAATCTAAACAAGTGAATGAGGAGCACAGTGCATCTAGTGGTGCATTTTCGTTTTCCTATATACAAAAAGAAAAAGTAAATGAAAAGCCAGAGTATAAAATGAGTCAGATTGAGACAAATATGAGAACTCCTGAGTGACTCAGAAGTGAGAGAGGTAAGGTTCCAAATGAGAAGGGAATCAGCAGCTAATATTTATCCCACATTTACTCATTCTCTGCTCAGAGCCTTCTGCATCCAGGGCAGACAAAGGCCATCACTGTGGGTGACAGGCTGTTTGTCAGCCGTGGTCTCTGTGGAAACAAGGTGAAATGGGAAAGAGCACATTTTATTATTTAGGTTGCATATTCATCACAAGTGAGAAGCCCTGTGCCCTGTCTCCACATTACTTTTTGTCAAGTCTTTCCTCCTGTAAGCACTCTCTCTCTTGTGATGACTGATTTTTTTCCTCAGTATTTAACAGTGCGGGTTTTCTCTCTCTGTGAACCAGCCAAGGATATGAAAAGCTAAAGCAGTGCCTACTTGCCTTCTTATGCAAAAAGCAAGTAGCACAAAATTACCATGGAATTGTTCCGCTAGACACTACCTTACAGAATAGAAGGAGATCGTTAGAAACACTTTTGTGTGCTAATTTTTCAGTGTTTGTTAAACTTAACTGTACACTGGTGATTTTATTATGCCTGCCATCAAATTACCCCAGGGTGTCATTCTCAGAGGCGGAGACAGGAGCAGGTGGTATCATAATGGTTTATTTTCGGTATTTTTAGCCATGTTGCCTGTGAGGTGTTTCAATAGGAAAGTTGTTGAGTTGCTGCTGCTGCAGGAAAAAGCAGGTAACACCTCGGTTACCTCCTCAGGTACCAGCACTGTTAAAGGCAATGCTTTTGGTAAGGCTTCCAACAGGAAGTTATTCTTTCCCACAGAGGGGGATTGAAAATCCCCAGGTTCCAGAGGGTCTGAATAGATCCTTCTTCATTGATGACACACTGATGGCCAAAGGCACTTGAAAAGATTTTCACTACCTTTTATTATTAGAGAAATGCAAATCAAACAACAATGAAATATCACCTCACCTCTGTGAGAATGACTGTTATTCAAAAGACAAGATACAATATGTGTTGGAGAGAAGGGAATCCTTTTACACTGCTGGTGGGAATGTAAGTTTGTACAACCATTACAGAAAGCAGTATAGAGATTCCTTGAGAAATCAAAAAATGAAATTCCAAAAGATCCACTTATATCACGTCTGGATATTTAGCCAAAGAGAATGAAAACACTAATTCAAAGAGATATACCCCCATGTTCATCGCAGCATTACTCAAATAGCCAAGAGTTGGAACAACTGAATCGCCCATTGGTAGATAATTAAAGAAGCTATGATGTGTATATACACACACACACAATGGAATACGATTCAGCTATAAAAAAGTTTGAAATTCTGTTATTTGCTACAATATGGATGGGCCAAGGATGCCTTAGGGAAATAAGTCAGACAAAGAAAAACACTCTTATTTCACTCATTTAAGTGGAAGATAAAGAAACAATACTAATGAACAGACAAATAGCAAGAACTCTTTGACTATAAGGACAAAATAATAGTTACCAGAAGGGAATGGGGAATTTGGTAAAAGGGTTAATTGCATGATAAAGGATGGAAACTAGATTTTTTGGAGGTGAACACAAGGTAGTATGTATAAATGTTGATTTGTCATATTGTATACCTGACACTTGTATATTGTTGTTACTTTAGTAAAGTAAAAAAAAAAAAAAATTAAATCCCTTAGTCTGTGCACTGAGAATCAATACTGGGCCAGTGAGCAAACTTACCCAGTCAGAGAGACAGAAAGTCTCTCACACAATCAAGCAGGCTGTTATAAAAGAGGGAATCCAAACTTTTTAATAGTTGATTGGTAAATTCAGTACTTCGAATATATTTTTAGTGCTGAGACTAAAAGCTGAGTGGAATTGTTGGAGTTGAAAGTGACTGGTGGGCTTCAGAATATAGATTAGCTTGTGATATACAAAAGAGTCCTCAGAATTTATAAGAAAAATCCGAGCTGAACTAGCACCCTTTCCCTGTAGATTTTGGGAAAGAGTCATCAACATTTCCTTGGTCAGCAAGATCTAAAGGCTGACCCGAGAACACACTGTTTATCCTTTTAAGCATGTTTACTAAACGGCATTTTGTTCTCACTGACATACCACTCCAGGGCTTCCCAACTAGTATGTTCTGTTAGCTGCAGAATCTCTGTACATTTTGGAAAATAATATAACAATCACTAATATTTTAAGCATAAACTTTGTAAAGCTATTTGATCATCTTTATTCCTAATAGCCCTTCAAAGTCCACATTTTCAGGACCAGGATTAGGGTGAGACAAGGGATGTGTTCAGCACAGGTGCAGAATTTAAGGGAATGTCAAAATAATTCTCAGTATTCCACACATATAACATTTGAACATTATTTTGAGAAAATCACAATTAATGCAAAATCTCCACAAAGAATAAAATGTAAGTTTAAATTAAAACAAGCTGTTTGTTTAACAATCCTCTATTGTGCAACAGGAACAGTCACTCCCAGTCTGCACGTTCCCCACCAGTTGGTTTATTGGGGCTGATGGTGTGTGCGAACAGATTGAGCAATGCAGAGTTTTACAGATCAGTGTGCTTTTTTTCACTGGAGAGCAACTAGTAATTCTTTTCCCCTTGACTCAAATAAGGAAGGGTATTCTGGTAAGTGTATATAGAGCATACATTCTTCCCTTTGTCTCAGGCTCCAACGTGGCTCTGCAGAGTACTGCATATTGTTAGTGATATTTTCCTCAATTTAGAGAAAGCTGACTTGCCCAAGGTCATGTAATCCAGTGTGTGTTCAGGCTGGGGCTTCATCTCCATTCAGTTTGTTTGTTCCATTGCTCTACAAAGCATGTCACATTATGTATGCCATAGTCAAGTTTGTAGGGAAACATTCCTTCATATTATGTTGAAGATTTTGGATCCCTAGTAGACAAAGTCATGTAAAGAGCATGACAGATGTGTAGAGCTTCCCAGTGGGTAAGATACATTCTGCTTCAACATAAGTCCTTATCTTTGATGCAATGTAAGAATGATACGTGTGTGAGTGTGTGTGTGTGTGTGTGTGTGTGTTCTATATAGATATGGATACATATATAGATATGGGATATATATCTACCCCATTTCTACTTGGGAGTTATAATTCTCTAACAATCCCACTGTACTTGTTATCCTAGCCCAATAAAAGTTATAATAGTGACAGTCTAACTCAGCAATTTGAAGCTAGTGATTTCCATAATTATTATACATAACCAAGAATATCTCACTGCTCCTTCTATCAGCTCCAAGTCCATTTCTACCATTAAAAATGACTCTTTCTGTTGTTGAACTTTGTGTCATTTCTTAGAACATCTTCTTCCTTTTCCCCTGTGGGATCAATCTCTCCAAAAGGGTCAAAAAGGGTTGTCTCAATAAGCCCAGAATAATCTTCCAATAAGTGTTACCTGAGTATTAGAAACTAAAAATCCATCAACATAGAGAAGTCTATTACCATTACTTAGAGAATGCAGATTATTTTAAGTGAAGAGCAATGAAGGCCCTGGAGGGCTTCTCAGTCATTGTCCTTGTCTCAATCAGCTGTCTTTTCACAAATGAAGAAGCAATCACTGCCCCCCCTTTACCTGACTTGGAAGAATGTAGTTTGGAAATATCATTCAGGTGTAAGTTTTTCAGTGAACATGTCCTCCTTATGTGAAAAAAATAAATCATGTTTTTACTCTCTGAGTAGAAGGATAAGGTCACCTTCTCCTGTCATGTGAAGTCTCCTTCTCTTTCCTTGATGTTCCAGATTCTTAAACAAAGGAGACAGAGAGAGAGAGAGAGAGAGAGAGAGAGAGAGAGAGAGAGAGAGAGAGAGAAATTATTTACTTCCCTGGACAATCTACAATTAACTTTAGAATTTACAGTCATGAAAATTCTCTATATATATATTCATTAAAATTTGTTTTTTCTTCTACTAATTTGTGTAATGTTAATTTATCTATCAATCCAGCATCAGAGGAACCCAGGTGGGGTTGGGGAATTTCCTGTGTGCCCTGGCACCCCCTTCAAACTTAGTGTCTAGTACAGTGTTCTATACACACAAATCAATACTTAACAGATACCAATACAGTTAAGAATTAGAATAAGAGAATATTTCATTGTATCTTCCCATTAGTGTGTAACGTAGGGGTACCCAGGGACCACAAACTATTAAGGGGTACACACTCTAAAAGGGATTCTGCCATCCTAATGCACAAAGGCAAAAGAAAGACTTGGTGAGAAAGACGCTTTAATAGAATTGGTGTGGAGAGCAAGAGCGGGAGCAAAAAGATAGAGAAAGGATTTCAAAATACATTCCTAATAAAACCTCCCAAATTACCCATCCCCTTTGTGGCCAAATGCCCAGCCAAACAGGGTTGATCCAAAGTGGGACCACTGAGGTCCTAAAGCTTTCCACAAGTCTGAAGTACGCCTGGCAAGGAACCGCAAGAAAGGGGTTAGGCAGTTCCTAGGGAGTGGGAACAGAAAGAGAGAGTCAAAATTCAAAATATAACATGTAATCCACAATGAGATCAAGATAAGAGTGGTCATTGACCAGGTGCAGCCTCCCCAGGTGACTCTCACTCATGTGCCTCTTCCAATTTTCTCTTCCAGTGTCTCTACATATCTCTACTCCACTTGTCTCCTTCAAGTCTCTCCTGGTGTCTCCCTACAGCAGTTACTAGTTATGAGGGTGCAAGTCAAAGCCAAAAAAGGAAACCCAAGTCCGCCTGCCTTCCACATTTTGTAGGTCCCCGTCACCACTTAGCTCTGTCTTTAGTTTCCAGTAGTTTCAGGGAGTCCATTTCATGACATGCTGGGACTTATAATCCAAGGCACTGCAGGTAAGTGGGGACAAGGAAAATGGCACCTCTCCTTCAAATATGTGCATCTTTAACAGTCTTCAGTGGATATGCAAGGAGCATACAAACATGGAAGTCTTAAAATAAGCTCTAATGATCCAGTCAACTATTCTTAGTTATCATGTTATCATTTTTGCATGAGCTACTTCAAAAACAACAATTTTCACCATAAGCGAATATGATAAAATATGAGGACCAATAGAGCAATTTCTCATCTAAAACTAAAAATTGGCTAAGTAAGTTGCTGAAACTATCAGTCAAATAATGATTACCTTGCATTTAGACACCCAATTAAGAGGCGATGCACACAATATGATTCAATGTACCAGTCCCCACTTGAACGTAAAATTTATTAACAATGATTTAAGACATTGCTTGAAATTATTTTATAAATTTGCACCATGTTCTCTAAGTTGTGATAACAGGTTAGGGTGAGCCAGTCTGAAAGTTAATTAACTTCCGGAGAAAATACATTGCATCATTATTTCTGCTTAGCAGAGATTTTGGTTTTCTTTTGTTTCTAAAAGCAAGGCTTTCTTTCCTTGGTCCCTCAGTGGGAGACAAGTTGCTTAGTAACCTTCCACTGACAGGGGACTGCTACTTTCTGAGTTTTACCCAGTGGAACCTGCATGTGAATAGCCGGCTGTCAGCAGCTCTGCTCTCAGAAGATTCCCCAGGCCAAGTGTTCCAAGTGCACACCATCTCCAGCTCCAGAGCCCTTGGTATTCTGGAGCACTTGAATTTGCCCAGCAGCCTATCACATTTTTTATTTCCCCACACATAGAATCACTTGTTTGCAGTCTGGAAATACAAAACTAGTCAAGAAATGGAGGCCAAACTATTGGTTAGAAACTTCTAATGCACATCCAATATATCACAATGTGTGTGGTAGGCAACTGAGCGATTTATCTTGTTTCCTCTGCCTGTTTGGTTCTCAATTTAAGTGTCCTTCCCTTTGGATGGAGTTCATTTGTTATTCTGCTCACAGTGTGCTATGAGCATTTGAAATTCAATGTTAATTGGGTAGAAACGCTTATTTTTCATTGTTTCTCTTTTCTTTGTTTTTTTTTTTTTTGCTAATTTTGGTGCAGATACTAGGTTTAAAATATAAAACATCAATAATTCAGGGGAAAAGATAAATATGGAGAAAATATGATTGCAGGCTTATTGTGAATGAGGTTTTATATATATGTATATATATATATATATATATAGTATCATCTGGTGGTCACAAACCATCTATCCAAGTGTGTGTGTGTGTGTGTTATAATAAAAATTTTGTAAATTTGTACATGCAGTTTAGAACTGTAAAGTAACCTTCAAGATCATACAAGCTAGTGATTTGCTGGTAGTCTTAATCACTATGTTACTGTGTTGCTGAAACGACTTTAAATGACTTAGTTCAATGAAAGATAAGTTGACAATAGTATACACTATTAACAGGTAATATAATGCTCAGGTATCAAAATTAAAGTAACTCAAGTGATCTCAGATGTTCAGAATACAAGAGCCCTGCCTGGTAGTCTCCAAGAGAATGTGATTCAGCAAGATGGTAAGAACACCGCCACTTTACAATAATATTACTTCAGGGCAGAATTCTGGGCTATTGAAATTTTCCCTGGATAATTATAAAGTTCTGCTTGCCCAGACAACCTGTGTTTATTGGTCCCCATGAGGGAGAAAAAAAAAGGGGAAAGGTCGCAGAGATGGTGTGAAAGAGGACCTTGGGGAAAGAGACCAATCTGGGCTTCTCTTGAGTGAGTGGAAATGAGCCCTTCTTCTCTTTTGTTCCTGCTCTAAATTATTTGGCGACCTTTTCTTCTTTCTCCCTGTTTCTATTAAACTCCCTCGGGGCAGAATGCTAGCCACAACAGCCAATTAGAGAGACACTGCAGGAAGAAGGGGCTTCAGTGACAGCTCCTTCATTGTCCACAGAGAAACAATCACCTCCCTGGAAGGTGGTTTAATGGCCCAACTCTTTTCCTTTCTCTGTCCTCCCCACTCAGAGAGCTCTCAAACTAGCCCCTAAGCCCAAAGCTAGTGAGTTACTAGGCACCGGAGTAGGGAGTGTAAGTTCCCACCCAGGTGGTTTAAATTAACACACAGACAACCCAGGTCCACAGACAACCCAGGTCCTCTGACACCGGCCAGCTCTTGCTTGTCCCAAACCGGGAGAGTATCTCCAGTGTTTCTCAAGATAGGTGCTTAGAGTACCTGCATCCAGGTTACCTGGGAATTTGTTAAAAAGGCAGACTTCTGGGCAACCTCTCAGATGCGCTGAATCAAACAAAATCTCTGAGGGTGATGCTGGGAAATCAGCATTTTAACAAGTTCCCTTGGTAACCTTAAATACATTATAGTTAGAAAACCACTGCCTTGCAACTTGTAAAGTGTTTTTACAGAGATTACTGGACTCAAATCTCAAATTCTCGAGAGGTGTATTTTCTTACGCCCTTTTCTGTGTCCTTGCTGCTTTCCTCCCCAATCAGTGTAACACCTCCAACTCAGCAGGTCCTCTGCTAAGACCCAGTAAACCAGAGTCAATCTCTCTGCCAAAGGTGACAACGAAAGAAACATCAAATAAGCTTAAAAAACATTTAAAACAGGACATTAGATAACTTCCAATGGGGGAAGCAGCACAGAGATAATATTACCTGACTGTACTATACCCAGATTAAGATTAAGTTAAGATTAAGTTAAGATTAAGATTAAGTTCAGACTCAGTGTGATGACGTTGCCTCTGTTTCCTCATCTATATAATATGGGTGATATGGTACTAACCTCAAAGGGTGTTTGTTAGGATTAAATGAGTGAACACAGGTAAAGTGCTTAAAACAGTCCCAGGCTCGTCATTAGCAGCTAGTTAATTAAGATGGCAGAGAATGGCATGTTGAAAAGCTATAATTCAATAAATGTACATGAATCCTCAAGTTATAATTTGTAAAACTTATTAAGTATCATAATCATCTTTTATGGCCTTAAATAAAGATGTAAGGACACATATTAACAGAAATGAATGGTAAGAGATATCATCATATATTTTTCATCAGTTTTAGCCCTAGTGCTACTGTGAATCTGTTCATTTTCTCTTGGGAGACTGGAGACTGTCCTGTGTATTATAGATTTTTGCCAGGATCACTGACCTCTACGAGTAACATGCTCCCAGTTATGACGACTAGAAATATCTCCGTATGGTACCAAATATTCTCTGGGGGATGACAAACAACACCTCTTGTTGCGAATTGTCTTATCATTGTCAAGTCACAGTTCCAGAAGTGTCTACAAAAATTAAATTTTCCCATTTTCTAACACACCCCCGAGGAGGGGGGGGGCATATAATCTATTATTGCTCCTAGTTTGCAAATTAGATATTATTAATAGTAAGTGGTTAGTCCAAAGTCCCCTAGTTTGTTCTCAGGATGATTATGCTCCAAGTTTATTTTCTATTGATCAATCAATTAATACACTCCACATCTGTGCTCATAAAGTGCAAAAATGTTTGCCAACTGAAGTCTTGTGATGTCTGACCATCTTTTCTGGTTTACTCTGGCAAATAGTGAGTATGTAAGGATTACAAATTTAAAGTCTGCTCTTCAACAGAGTAGCCCTCAACCATCTTCTTTCTGGAAGGAATCTGGTTCCTTATTCTTTCACTGGACATTTATTAAACCCCTACCACACACAGGTTACTTTGCTACCTTACAGGGACCGTAAGGTAATTATGAAGGAGGACCATTCCTTTCAGAGCTCACAAGCGAGCTGAGGATCAATCACACACAGACACATAAGCTGAAATGCAGGTGGGCGTGAGAGGGCATGGGTTGAGGGTTGAAGGAAATAAATGCAATAATAGGAGATAACATAAAGCACACTGGGGAAATGAAGTAAATCAACTGTCTTTGACAGG